CTTCAGTAATATAATGAATTTTTAATTTTTATTAATTAATTAATTACATTAATTTGTGTGTGTGTGTGTGTCCAGCTCAGCCCACCAGGGGGCCGGGCTGGCTGGCATGTGGTGCTGGGGGATTGAACCGTGGTCCTTGTGCTTTGCTAAGCTTGTTCTAAGTAGGTGCTTTAGACCACTGAGTCATCTCACCAGCCCTTTTTTTTTTTTTAAGAAGAGAGTTTTTTAAACCCACAAATTGGGGGAAAAAAATCTTAGCCAACAGTTACTCAAAGGATTTCTTTATAGAATTCAAAAGAAGCACACCCCCAAAGTTCAAAGACACCCCCCCATCCAAAAATAGGCATCTGAGATGAATACGTACTTCTCAGAGGAAGCAATACAAATAACAACTAGTTATTTGAAAAAATGTTCAACAACATTGGTCATTCAGGAAATGCAAATGAAAACAGCACTGAGATTCCATCTCACCTCAGAAAGAAAGACTAGGCAGTGGGGAAAAAGGAACCCTTTTCCATTGTTGGTAGGAGGTAGACTGGTACAACCTCTGTGGAAATCAGTGTGGCGATTCCTCAAAAAACTGGAATTAGAAGTCCCATTTGACTGAGCTTGGATATTTTTCCAGAGGAATTGAAAACATTATGCCACAATAATAATATGTGCCTTCCTGTTTATAACAGCACAATTTGTCATAACTAAATCTTGGAAACAATGCAAATGCCCACCAAGCGAAGAATAGATTAAAAAAGATGTGCTATTTTTATACAATGGCGTATTACTCAGCTATAAAGAAAGGTAAACGTGAGGCTTTTATAGATAAATCAATGTAACTAGAGGCTATATTCATAAGTGAAATAAATCAGACCTGCATGTGTAAACATCATATCGTCTCCCCAGTGTAAAAACCTGAAAAATAAAGTCTGAAAGGTAGAATAGATAACTATGAAAGGGAAAGAAACTTCAAAGGGCAGGAACAACTGGGATGAGGGAAAGGAGAAAAAGGGAAAAAAGAGGGAAAAACATCATGTATGTATATACACAGGATAGCTAAAATGATTGTACTAATTTCTGTCAGCATTTTGAAGGTAGCAGTTAATGCTTAAAATTTTTACTTTGACCAATTTTACATGCTTATATCTGTAACCTGAGCATCTACATTGAAGACAACAATGTGCAATATCCATTGTTTAAATGCTTATCATCATGTTTTTTATTTTAAATTGTATATTGTTTCTACTGTCTTACCTGTTTTTTTAATGCTCTTCAAAAAAAGAGATTTTTGTATATCTTTTGTCGTATAATTTTTCCTTGGTTGCTACTCAGAAGTGTTTTATCCATTGGTTTTCATGGCTTTGTAAAAGTTTTTTTTTTAATTTTTTTTTACATCAGTTATTTTATTTTAAAGAAAAAAAAATAACAATGGTACAAAATCTCAAAACAAGACTTTAAGAGAGTAATAATGGTTAGTACATTGTGTATTGTTACTGCCAAAGTAGTTTCTCATATAACAAGATATAGGCAAGAAATAATAAATAAACAACATAGGTACAAACCTCTGTTTTGTAAAAGTTTGAAGTATCTTTTTTTTTTTTTTTTGGTTGTCTCAGGCTGCCATAAGGGCAGGTCTGTTAATATTAGGTGGAGGTGGGGATCGAACCGCCTTATCCTGCGCCTGACTACATTTGTATGAGCAGGTACTTAAACAACTGAGCTAACCAACAGGCCCCTGAAGTATCTTTTATTCTTTTCTTTTTCTTTTTCCCCCAGTACTGGGGCTAGCACCCAGGGCCTGTGCACTGAGCTGTGTTCCCATTCATTCATTCATTCATTCAGGAGATTAGTTATAGTGCTAAATTGCCCAGCCGGCTTGAACCTGGCTGGCTTCCTGCCTCAGCCTCTTCAGGTGCCAGGATTACAGGCCTATGTTGCCATACCTGGCTAGTGTGTAAAATAGCCTTTGAGCGTAAAAGTCCAAATGACCATTGGAAAGGTAGTCCCATTGCAATATGAGTAGATGCACAGGACATGGTAGCTGCTCAGTCAGAATCAGGGAGAAGTTCAGGGGGAGTCTACTAATTCTGTGGGAGAATCTTACAATTCTCTACTTGTGCTTTCAAGAATTTTCAAATGCCTTAGATAAATGCGTAGATAAAAGGCTACTGTAGAGTTAATTCTGGGTGCTGTGTTGACTGAAAATATTACTAGATGTCAGAGATACACATTCTAATCTCACTGTGCCAACTATTACCTATATGACCCTGACCAGGTTGCATTATGTCTCTGGTTTCCACATTCCTTTTGTGAAGGGGGATGGGAACTTGGAGTCAGCTAGGCATGTAATTCTGCATTGCAGCTGTGCTCCGGAGAAGGACAGTCATCTAAAGGGAGGGAGGGTGGGCACTGCCATCCTGGCTACCCCATGTGCAACAGTGTGCCTCTCACAGAGCCTCACCGTGGAGAGCCCAGCCGTATTGCACCTGCTTGGGTGGGAATGGGATTGGGGGATGTGGGGCTTTGTTAATTTGCTCATGGTGCTATATCCACAGTGGTGGCTGGTGCTATGGCTGCCTCCCAGGACTGTTACAGAGAACAGTGAGGTGGTATAGAAGTGCCCTGTAAGGGTAGTGTTACAGAAATGTAATGTCTTACTGTTCATCTGTGGTTTATTTTAGGGTAGATACAACAAGAATTGAATACTCCATCCCCTTAAGAGAAAACTGGGCACTGCCATATTTTGCGTGCCAAGTTGCTGCACTTACAGGCTATTTAAAAAGCAATTTAAATACTTATGCAGAGGTAAGACACAAATCTGTTTGATTCATCACAGTTAATTCTCATATATTGCAAATGTACATAAATTTAAAGCTAGTTGTATTGAGTTGTGTTTGGTGAAGCCTAGTTACTGCATAATAAAAGATATATGCACATCTGTATGTATATATACATATATAATTTTTTGAGAGGGTCTTGCTAAATTGCGCAAGTTGGGCTTAAATCTGTCATTCTCCTATCTCAGCTTCCCAGAGTGCTGGGATTCTAAGTGTATGCCACCACACCCACCTTATGATTTACATTTTTCCAGAAATAAAATCCCATCTTGCAATCATGTTTACTTCTTTCTTTGTCTCCCTTCTCTCTCTCTTTTTTTAAAAATTGTGAATGAGTTTAAGATTCTGGGGCTGGCAAGAATGCTCAGCAGTCTAAAGCACTTGCTTCAGCAAGCTGAGGGAAAGTGCCAAGACCACAGTTTGATCCCTGGCACCACATGCCACACCAGGCCCATGCCCAGGGCAGGCTGAGCCAGCCACACATGCATACACCAAAAAAAAAAAAAAAAATCACAAGAAATTATAATAGTTTACAGTGATACAATACTGTTACTTTGACTTTAGATCTTTAGATTTCACAGAGCTTTTATATGCATTCCTTTTTTGGGAGGAAGGGATACATAATTGTTCTTTTGTTTTGGCTTTATTTTGTTTTAAGGTAGACCCTCACTATGTAGCACAAGTTAGCCTTGAACTCAAAATCCTCAACCTCCCAGGTGCTGGAATTACAGATGTGCACCACCATGCCCAGCTTAGTTATATGATTTTTCTCACATTTTTAGATTTGAGTGGCTATTAAAATATAAAACTTTCCCATCCTCACAAGAAACTCAGGTTAACCCTTCATAAATCCTCTTCTAAATCTAACCTTTATCAACCATTGATTTGCTTGCTTTTGTTTGTTCAGTTTTTGGTACTGGGAATTGAATTTACCACCTCCTGCTTGCCAGGCAGGCACTGTGCCACTGAGCTATATCCCCAGCCCTGAATTACTTTGTGTCATACATTTTTCTACGTTGAAAGGTTGTATGAATAAAATCATAGGTTATGTAGCCATTATTGGTTGAAAGTTGTCCCTTCATCCACCCTAATGCCCTGGCTGGCTGTCAGAGTTACTGCATGTAGTGGTACTTTGCTTCTTGTCATTGCTGGGGAGTATTCTAAAAACATGAACTTTTCAAAGTGACATATTTTATAGTGTGCCTCCTTTTCTTGAGGCTAGATCCCAAGTTATTCAAGCAAGCTCAGACTTTGTGTAGTTACCTGGTTAATGGCTGAGACCTGCTGTATGATGTATGTCATTTGCCTTGTACACATAGAATAGAGCTTGCAGCAGAGGCATATCGAGAATGAAGCTGAGGGGCACTGTGACAGGGAGGGGGAGAGAAGACTGCAGAACTTTGAAAATGTTAAGGGACAAGGAAGGCTTAGTTACTCTCCAGATGGATTTCTGGCATCAAGACTTATTTTGGGAGGGCTGGGGAGATGGCTCAATAGAATAAGCACTTGCCTGGCAAGCACAAGGGTCTGAGTTCAATCCCTGGTTCTGCCAAAAAAAACCCACCAAAAACCAAAAAACTTTTTGTGTGCATGGTGGTTTTTTTTTTTTTTCAGTTTCAAACTGATTAACAGGACAGTGTCAATAATTAATACATTGCATGTTGTTGTCTTTGTAGTAGTTATTCATAGTACAAGATGCAGACAGGCTATCCTGTCCAAACACTATTAGTACAAATCTTTCTTCTCATTAAATTAAGAGAAAGTAGCTGTATATCTATCTTAACTATTTCGTATACACAGATACAAAATGGTCCTTCAATTGTATCCCCTTTTTTTGTTTAGCTTTGTCAGAGATGAGTATTCCATTGCCATTTAAATATTGTAGGTGCATATCAATATGGCTTTACTTTTTATACCTCTTTTTGTACTTTTCTGCTGGATGGTAAGACCAAGATAAAGCAAGACCTATATAACAAGAAATATAACTTTTGTCTCTGACAAGGTCAGTCAAATCCCCTCAGGATTTACCCTGAAATCTTATACCACAAGTTTGTAGATCCTTTGTCAGTGTTAGCCATGTAGGTGAGTCACGGCCGTTGCTTGACCAATTTGCTCTCTGTGAAAGCCTGAATGTTTTCTCTCCATGTGACTCTCCTTAGGCACACTCTGCCTCATCAATCGCTTTCCTCTGTAGCCCCATATTGTGCATGTTCTTAAGGGGAGTGTGGAAAAAGGTCTTGGAGTTAGTGTTTTGTTTTAGTATGTTGTAATGTTTCTCCAGAATCCCCCAAGTATTCTGTAGGTGACCAGTATGTTGACTAGTCTGTTATGTAGAGTCTTTATTGGTTTCACTGGGTTTGATAGTTTCAGGCCTGATTATCATAGTATAGTTCCACAATAGACAGTTTCCAAAGTGCCCTCCCCAGGGACCAAAAAACCAAGGGTAGAGAGAGGAAGGAAAAAAGAAAAAACAATTTAAGATGTATTATTAGCATATGTCCCAGCTCCCCACAGTGGGTAAAATCATTATATATTACACACATGGACTAAGAACATTTGAGGAAAAAACACTCCCATATGCAAGAATAACTGTGGTGAGAAGCAGAACATAAGGTTATGTGTTTTATCAGTGCAGGGCCCTTCTGAGCTTTGTGGTGGTGGTTTGACCAGTTGATGGAATTTTGCCAAGTTTGACATTTTGTTCTGTGGCCTTAATCTTACTCGAGATGATTAAAAATTCATTTATTTCTCTGCTGATGGCTGACATATTACTGGCTCTGGAATTTGTCATTGATAATAGTCTGTTGAGGTGAAGGATTTAGCTTTAAAAAACACAGTTCTTAGATTTCTTGGCCTGACCTTTATTGTCCTTGTTCACTGTTTTGTTATGGTGAGATCATTTGACACAGCTAATGGAAGAACTGGGAATTTTAAAAAGTAGATCTATAGAGGATGGAGTAACTATAGTTGGAAATGTGCTACATGACAGTGATTACTCACAAAAAGGTTGTTTGGAAAGTTGAAATTGAGTTTAGCCATGCATCTTTCAGTCAGGGGTAGTGACATCCCCATGTTTAGTATTTAACAGAGGAAGACAGCTAAGAATTTTATATGGTTGGTACTACAAGCATTAAGGAAAGATAAGGCTATATATATATATATTTTTTAATTTTATTTTTATTTTTGGCAGAACAGGGGATTGAACTCAGGCCCTTGGCGCTTGCCAAGGAAGCATTTATTCCACTGAGCCATCTCCCTGGCCCCAAGGCTATAGTTTTGTTAAGAGCAAAGAGTTGGAGTAGAGCAATTAGGAATTTGAAATATCATTCTTCAAATTGTAGGTTTTAGGAAAATATGAACCACCATGAAGGTAAAAATACAACATTATTTACAGGATGAAAGAAGTTTTTCCACATTAACAAAGTTCAGCAACCAAGCCACCATTTTGTTCTATAAATATACTTTACTTTTGGGACAAAGGAAAATTGTACTGAAATATATTTTATTTTTCTTCCTTTTTTACTTTGTCTTTCTGAGATTTTCAGTATGTTGAAAGACAAGTGGTTTCTTGCCTTAAGATCTTACTGTTTTGTAAGGATTTATAAGAATTATGTGACATAAGCCAGGCATGGTGGTGCATGTTTGTAATCTCAGCATTTGAGAGGCTGAGGCAGGAAGATCATTGTGAGTTCAAAACCAGCCTGGGCTACAAAGTGAGTTCAAGGCTAGCCTGAAGTGCATATCAAGACTGTTTCAAAAAGAGAGATGGCTGCCCAGATAGCTCAGAGGACTAAAGCCCCTGCTTAGGCAGATGCAGGAACCAAGGTTTGATCTGTGCAGCTGGTGCTGGCCCTGCCCCTGGGGCATGGCAATTGAAACTGAACATGGTGGTACATGCTGAAATCCCAGCACTTGGGAGGCTGAAAACAGGAGGATCATTACGAGTCTGATATGTGTAGTGAGACCCTGTAGACCCTGTACTAAATACATAAAAAATAAAAAAGAGAGGGAAGGGAAGGGTTAGGGGCAGGAGAAAGGGAAAGGAGGGGGAGGGAGAGAATATTATATGATTTTAAAATAGTTGTAAGAGTTACATAGATTCAAGTTGAACCAGTAACAGAGTTGGAACTTTGAAGTAACCTCATAGTTTTTTGTTTGTTTGTTTGTTTTGGGGTGTTTTTGGTGGAACCAGGGATCTCCCCGGCCCCACCTCATAGTTTTTAATAGCAGCAAAGCTACTGATACTTAATGTCTTTCTTTTGTTTCCCGTAGAGGTTTTGCTATCTGTTGATGAGTGCTTCAACTTACACCTTTATGATGATGTGGGAGTACAGCCACTATCTTTTGTTTCTTCAAGCAGTATCTCTGTTCCTGTTAGATATCTTTACAGTGGAACAAGGTGACAAGGTATAATGTTTTGAAATGATATATTAAAATTCCAGAAAATAAATGGCTGTCCAGTGTTGTATCTTAAAACCTCACATCTATTTTTTTATCCCCTGTATTCAGCTAGTGATTGCAAATATTAAAATTATTTGAACTGAGAGGTTTTCCTTTTAGACAGGGTTTTGCTGTGTATTCCAGGCTGGCCTTGAAGTCTCCCAAGATTCTCCTCGCTCAGTCTCCCAAGTGCTGGGCTTACAGGTTTGTGCCATCACACCTGGCTGAACTGATAGTGTTAAACAAAGTTGGTGCTGTGACTCAGTGGTAGAGTGCATGCTGAGCACGTGCAAGGCTCTGGTTCAATTCCCAGCAAAAGAAAAAACAATGATTAGTCAAGTATAAAGTCATTAATTTATTAAATGATTAGTTCAAAGGATGATAAGGGCTATAGGGGCAGCACCTGCGGGAAGCAGCTACTACCACTGGCTCTTCCAGCCAGATGTGGGGGCACATGTCTGTAATCCTGGGGTTCTGAGAGACTGGGGCAACAGGACCACAAGTTTGACACGAGCCTGGTAACTTAGAGACTGATACCCTATTTCTAAATAAAAAGACTACAAAAAGGGCTGGGGATGTAGCTCAGTGCAAAGGCCTTGCATTCAATCCCCAGTACATAATGAAGAAAAAGTTCTTCCAGCACTTGAAAAAGTATGGACAGAAGGTGGTGAGCGCAAGTCATGTCTGGGGAATTTAATGAGATCCTGTCTCTAAGTTAAAAAACAAACTAGTAAAGGGACCTAGAGATGTAGCTCAGGGATAGAGCACCTTGTGTTCAATCCCAAGTACCAGTACCACCAGAGAAGGGGTGGTGCTTAGGAGGGAGGGGAGAGAAAGGTGGGGAGAGACAGGTTCTTCCATTTGATTTGAACCCTCATGGTTGAAAGCTGTTTCTGGAAAGCTCTAAGAAGAAAGTTACTTGATTTATTGCAAATCATAACATTAAATATCTAGATCGAGCATTTCATAACACTGTTCTAAATTACAGTGCAGTGTTTATTGTATGATTTCTTTCTTTTCTCCTTTTTTTCCTGTTTTTTCTTTCTTTTCTTTTTCTTTCTTTCTCTTCTCATTTGAGGCTATCCTTAAACTCATTATGTAGCCCAGGTTGGCTTCAAACTCACTTCCTGAGAACTGGGATTACAGTCATGGGCTACTATACCTGGCTTTATTATATCATAGTCAGACCTATCCCAAACAAAGCTAATGAAAAGATATGCAATAAAATTCATTTTTACTTTCTTATTATACCCTAACAGATCCATGAGGTATATAAAATCTACATATTTTCTCTGTTTTTGGGATATTTGCTACAGTTTGAAAATCCAGCTTTATTAGTGTCTCCTTTATTAAGTTTTGTATCAGCCTTAATGCTTACTAAGTGCCTTCAGGTAATTATCATTGCATTTTTATTCTTGTTATTTTTAAATTATCAAGTTTTTATATCGCACTTTTTTTTTAAATCTCACTTCTTTGTTTGATTTTTCTCCCACAGCTGAATGTGAAGAAAGGAACTTTTGTAGCTAAAATCATGAAAGTGATTAATTTTTACCTGGAATGTACTCTGCCAGTGACACTGAATATGATAATAAAGGTAAGTAACTCTCAGAGATTCATGCAGTAGATGGAATTGAATAAGTTATCTAGCTGGGAATGGTGGCACACACCTGCAATCTCAGCACTCCAGTGAGGCAGGGGCAAGAGGATTGCAAGTTCAAGGCCGTTCTGGGATATGTAGTGAGTTCACGTGTCCCCTGAGCTACATAGTGAGGTCCTGTCTTGAAAAAAAAGTGTTTCAGTGAGGATAATAAGAGTTTTTCTAGCATAATGCTAACTGTAACAGTATAGTGCTAACTATGACAATGACCATAAAACTATAATATTGGTTAGAAAGAACAAAGAAGAAAAAAAGCCCTAGAATACTGGATGAGAAAATAGAAACTTGATTATTTTCTTTACTATTTCATAAAAAAAGAAATATACTTTATTTTGTGATTAATATGTTATCATTGCCTAATTAAAAAATCAGGTTATGGGGTAAATTGAGACAGATAAAAGTGGATAAGTAACTTGAACCAGGTGAGATTAGATTGTAGTACTGTTACTACCCCATTACAGTTTTATGCCTAAGCATAAGGTAATGTGATTGATTTCTACCAATGATTCTCATTGCTTCCTAGTTGCATTATGAAGTATTACTTAATTTGTGTTTATGTAGTCTTGCTATATTTTCTATCTCTAGTAATGGGAAGAGAACACACTGCTCCAAGCACAGCTAGGATTTCTTGATTTAATCAGTGTTTTTCTCTTCTAGATGTTTGTTCCACACACAGAAAATGAGCACATGCTCGAATTCCTTGAAGTAAAATTTGGGTTAAATATGACTAAGTAAGTTTCAGATTCTACATGTTTACCTAAATCTATACCACTTAGAAAATAAAAAGCAAAAATACTAAATGAAGGGAGCACCCACTTAATTGCATATCACTTAGAAAATAACCAATTTGGTGTGTTAGGGTATATAGAAGAAATGTGACATTATCAGTTTTCTTGTGGACTGGGAATGTAGCTCAGATGGTAAAATGCTTGTCCAGCATGTCTCAGGTCCTAGGTTTGATCTCTAGTGTCACAATTGATTAACCAATAAAATATAGCTCTCTTAATTATTCTAAAAGATAGATAAACTTTATTTTTTAAATTTTATTTATTTATTTATTAGAGAGAGAGAGAGAGAGAGTGTGGTGTGTGTGTGTGGCCAGCTCAGCCCACCAGGGGGCAGGGCTGGCTGGCATGTGGTGCTGGGGGATCAAACCGCGGTCCCTGATGCTTTGCTAAGCTTGTTCTAAGTAGGTGCTTTAGACCACTGAGCCATCTCTCCAGCCCCGATAGATAAACTTTAATAGTATTATAGTATCTAACACTTTCTCCCTTGGTAAAGAATGGTGATGTTCATACTGGGGAGATAGCCCAGTAGAATAAGCACTTGTCTGACAAGCACAAGGTCCTGAATTCAATCCCTGGTACTACAAAAAAAAAAAAAAAAGAAAAAAGAATGATGAAATAGTGTGGGCATATTGGTGCACATGTGTAATCACAGCCCTTGGGAGGCTGAGGCAGGATGATTTCCTTGAATTGGAGGCCAGCCTGGACTGCATAGTAAGATCCTATTTCAAAAAAAAGTAAATAAATAAATTAACAAACAAACATAAAATGAGGTAGACTAGCATGTATGGAGCTCTGGGTTTGATTTCAACCATGGTATGAAAAATGAAGAATAAAGAGCCAAGGTAATTTAAGCCACTATGTCAGTCATATGCTTATAGTAAAAAGGGGGAGAGGGTAAACAGAGTATTACTTCATAGCCAAGAATCTCCTCTTGCGGTCATAAAAATGGGACCCCATGGGGCCGGGGAGATAGCTCAGTAGAATAAGTGCTTGCCTGGTAAGCACAAAGTCCTGAGTTCAATCTCCAGTACTACGAAACTAAAAGAGAAGGAAAGAAAGAAAGAAAAAAATTGGACCCTAAAGCTGTTTTGATTTTTTTTTATTATTTTAAAGAATGTGCTTATATTTTCATTGTCATTAGTTTTTTTTTTTTTTTTTTTTAATCTAGGATGTGTTCTACTACTAAGCTACATGCTCAGCTTCATAAATGTACTGGTAGAATCTTAACAGCATAACAGGATAGTTACCTACATATTTCTCATGTTATATCTTAGAAATTTACTCATTTGCTATAGTTATATGGGATTATAAATACAGGGAATAGAGTTTCATGTGGTGATATTTCACAGTTAATAGTGTTTGAGATATAGATTTTTTTTTTTTTTTTTTTTTTTTTTTTTTGGTATTTTAGTACAGGGTCCACAGAGTCTCACTATGCAGATTGGACTTGTAGTGATCCACCTGTGTTCAGCCTCCCAAGAGCTGGGATTATAGGCCCATACCACCATGCCCAGTCTCAATCACCATCTCAGTGTGCCCTTGGGGTGGGGCTGGCATGACACGCCTGGGATTGAACCCTGGCTGCTGCATCTGCCTAAGCAGGTGCTCTAATCCGCTGAGCTATTTGGCTGGCCCTGAGATACGGATCTTTTAAAAGACCATGCACAAAAAAAAAAAAAAAAAAATTCCTTCATTAGGGCCCAGGGAGATGGCTCAGTGGAATAAGTGCTTCCCTGGCAAGCACAAGGGCCTGAGTTCAAGCCCTGGTTCTGCCAAAAAAAAAAAAAAAAGAGAGAGAGAGACTATGCACCTGGTTCCTGTTCCAGCATGGAGAAATAAGCCTTGTGAGGGAAGGACAGGGTCTTCCCTAGGCAGAAGGTGAAAGCCACCAGTAAAGGGGGGTGCAGACCTCAGGAAGGACTGGCCTTGACACCAGCTCTTTCCTAAACCCTGAACACAGCCAAGAATCTACCAGGGTTAAAGGCTGCTCTGAGCCAGTGTTTATGGGCTGATGTTTGTGTAATGCCTCTATTTAGCATGTTATATACTAATAATGTGCTTCACAGAGTGAAGCATTGAGTGTTTTAAGAAAATGCCAGTCCCATCTTATTGTCATCTTATTTGTTTTCTTTTTTTTGGTGGAACTGGGGATTGAACTCAGACCCTTGTGCTTGCCAGGCAAGTGCTTATTCTACTGAACTATTTCCCCAGCTCCTTTTTTTTTTCTTATTTTTTTCATACATTTTGTGACATGGGTGGCATAAACAGTGGTTGCCTTACCCTTGAGTGTGCCAATTGGGTATTAGGTTTCAGAGTACACCAGATTTTCAGAAACTTCTGTTGACAGACTTTCACCAGCTACCAAAGAAGTAATATTTATTGAATGTTTATAATAGTAGGCTACTGATACGGACCCAATAATGATTACATTATGCGGTGCAATAGAGAACAGGTAAAAGTGCTACAAGAATATGGGAAAGCTGGGCATGGTGGTACACATTTGTAATCCCAGCACTAGGGAGGCTGAGGCAGGAGTGCTAGACATTCAAGCCTAGCTTGAGTGACATAGCAAGACCTTGTCTCAAGAAAGGAAAGGAAGGGAAAGGAAAGGAAGGGAAGGGAGAGGAAAGGAAAAGAAAGGAAAAAAACAATATGGGAAGGAAAGATTGATGCTAAGGGAAATGAGAAGGGTGCTCATTACATTTGAGTTGGAATTAGACCTTATAGTTAAAAACTTCTAATGGAGGTTTTTTTAAGAAGTGCACTTCTTGCGGGCACAGAAAATTTGTTGGCAGTCTCTTTAGTACAGCTGTACTTTTACCCAATTCTTTGTTTCGTCCTTTTTCCTTTGAAATCCTGAGTGTATCTTATACTTAAAGTATCTCTCAGTTTGAATTGGTCACCATTCAAGTGTTTTGACAGTCGCATTTATTTAGCTGATAGCTGCTGTCTTGGGCAGCACAGAAGCAGAGGTTGGCCAACTGAGTTATTACCATCTTGTGGAAAAAAACAGAAATAACATTCTGAAGGCTCAGGTGGGTCAGGCGTGGTAGTGTAACACCTGTGATCCAGCACTGAGACAGGAGGATTCCTGAGTTCGAGGCAAACACAAGGAGGAAGGAGAAAAATGCAGTTGGGCTTTAAAGCTGGTCACATGACTTGGTAATAAGCAATACTTTTACATTTAATAAAGCAGTTTTGATGACATACTTTGTTGAAGACAATTACTAATACAATTACCTTTGTTTATAGAGGATAAGACCTTACAAGTATAAATGAGTGAACGTAGGAAATGTGTTTTATCTGTTTCTACTATGATTTAAAAAAATACTTTTGTTAGTACTGTAAAACACCTGTAATCTTAATACCATGCTTTTTATCTTCTCTAGGAATTTTACAGTGAATTGGCTCCTCTGTCAAGAATCCCTCCAGACACCGTCCCAAGATTTTTTTTTGCGATTGACACAATCTTCTTTATTACCATTCTATATTCTAGTGTTAATTATTTGTCTTCTTTCTATGATGCAAGTTATTTTTAGGAGGCTTAAGTAAGTACATGTAAGAAGCAACCACTAATATATTGAGAAAAATATTTATGCTTCATATAGATTTTTATGTCTGTATGTATATGTTCATGCTGCTACATATATATGTGTACATACATATATGAAGTTTTTGTTTTCTTACGCTGCGGATTGAATTTTTATGCCTGCTAAACACATAGTCTACCACTGAGCTATACCCCATCCCCATTTTTTTGGTTTTTTGTTTTTGACAGAACCGGGGATTGAAGTCAGGCCCTTGTGCTTACCAGGGAGGTGCTTATTCCACTGAGCCATCTTCCCGGCCCCCTTTTTTGTCTTTTTGAGACAGGACTTGCTGCGTAGTTCAGGCTGACCTTGAGCTCACTCTCGCTCAGGCTGGTCTCGAAATTGCAGTGATCCTCCTGCCTCAGCATACCAAGCGCTGGGATTACAGGCATGAACCACCATCTTCCACTTCCCCCTTTTTTTTTCTTTAAGAGATGAGGTTTTATTATCTTAATTAGACTGATCACAAACACCTGTGCTCATGATATTCTAGCCTCAGCCTCCTAAGTGTCCAGGACCACAGGTGTGAGCCTCTAGACCTGCCAATATTTTTGTATTTGGGTTTGTTTTTTTTTTCCATAATTTTATTGAGAGACAAATAGCAATGAGACAGTTTCAAATCAAATTGGTAGGACAGTTCCAATAATTAACACATTGTATACTTTCTTCCTAGTGGTTATTTGCTGTACAAGATGCAGACATGATATCCTATTTACAAACACTATTAGAACAAATCCCTCTATTCGTTAAGAGAATGTAACTA